ACTTAGGAACAAGATTTCTCTGGCCTGCTGGGCCCAGGGAGGCCATTGCCCCATCTCTAGGTCAAAGGCCCAGCCAACATCTGTATACCAGATAGACTGGTGCCGAACCGGGACTCAAGACTCTTCCACTTCTCTGGTCCAGAGCCCTGCCCTCAGGCCCTGGGGTTAGCCTGTCTACGGGTGACATCCGCACACATTTTGCTCTGCCCCGCCTCAGCTTCTATTTCAGACAGTTTCTATTTCTGGAATCCTCAGGAATACCTCGGGCTCTTTGTTTATACCAAACTCTTTCTCCCTCTCCCCAGGCTACAGAACTAGGGCCCTAGCCTTCTAGAGGGACCTTCAAAGTACACAGCAACTTGTGCGTAAGCCTGACTCACACCTCAGATGCATCTGCACTGTGCAGCCTGGAGAGTCAGCCCAAATTCACAACTAGGTTTCAGAAAGCAGAGTGTCCTCTTACAAACTAGGGGCCGAGTGAAATGAAGTAGGCAGTCCTGAGGCCTCCATCAATGAGGAGGCTCCCACTGGCCAGTGTCACAGGAAGAGGTGGCCCTGCACCGGGAGCGTTGGGTCTAGCTCTGAACCATAGGTAACAGTGACTTGACCCATGGCAACACTGGCTTGCTCTAGCACTTCCTGTCTCCTGGGTATGGGGTCAAGTCTGTTTTTTTGGGGATGTCATTATTCATCAAATTGTACAGCAGTGGCTGAAGGTGTAAGGAAGAGGCTATCTGCACCTCCAGTGGCTATATGTGGGCAGTTGAGGTCAAGGGTCAGAAGAAAACCCCTATCCCAGCATGAACATATGAAGTCTCCAACAGTGACACCTGGTGGGGATGATGAGTAATGCAGCATATGGAAAGCAAACCCTTGGCCCTTCAGTATTAGACTGGATTGGATGAGAAACAGAGGTCTTGGACTGCTGGGTATGGTCTCGAGGGGGAATTACTGTCCTTGTCAATAGGATGTGTATGTCAGTAGGGTGTGTATATCTCCAAGCATTAAATTGACAGGAAAAGGATATTCTCCAGACTGACTATGGGTTCTGTAGGGGAAAACACTGAGAGACTTTAAACAGGCAAAGTTATTTCCTGACTGTCCTTTCATTAGAATGCCAGGGCCTCTGGGGACTGCATAGTGTTCTAGAGAGGTGCACCATGTGTGCATCTTCCACTTGGGCATTTCTTGGCTCTGTGGAGAGAATAATAATCATGGACAAAACTGCTGGCATTTCCTGTGTATGACACACATCTGAGAGCTGTCTCTTGGGTGCATAGGATCTTGTTTCCTATTCAGTTTAATGTGTTCTTGGATAAAACCAAACCCAGGACTGGAGTGTGTGAAGCAAGGACTCCACCGCTGAGCTACATCTTCTGTCCTGGTTTGTGTATTTATTAGGATATTTTACACACGAAGTCACTTCCCCTACAACAAGAGGTTTGATTCTAGCCGGGCAGTGGTGGTGCACACCTTTAATCCCAGCACTTGGGAGGCAGAGGCAAGCAGATCTCTGTGAGTTTGAGACCAGCCTGGTCTACAAGAGCTAGTTCAAGGACAGTCTCCAAAGTCACAGAGAAACCCTGCTTCTAAAAACAAAACAACAACAAAAAAGAGGTTTAATTCTTCCTTTCCTTCCTGGTGTGTTTAGTTTTTCTTTCCCCCAACTAAAGTGACTGGAGTACTTTGGAAAGAACACTTACCCACATGTGTAATTTTTTGAACGTTCACTTTAGAGCCCCTGGCATCAGACACATCACACACACACACACACACACACACACACACACGCACGCACGCACGCATGCACGCACGCACGCACGCACGCCGTGTGTTTCCCCAGCTGGGGTGTAAAGGAGCGGCTGAGGGAAATGCTCAGCAGGAAAGATGGGAGTGGGAAGGAGCGGCACAGACAATGAAGGAGCTGAACCTTCGAAAGCAGAGCGTTCTCAGAGAAGTGAGAGCCGCTGTTATGTCAGTGACTGGGGGAGAGGGAGCGGAAGGGTTTACTTCCAAGAGCAAGTATCTTTGACACTTAGAATGACCGAAACAAACAGGGAAGTTGAGGGTGTTTCCTAGAAAATAGAACAGAAAGCCAAGGTTGGGAGAAAAACAAGGAATTCGGTGTGAACTCAAAGGCCCAACTTCTGATGATCAGATATGTGAGGGAGGATGACAGGCAAGAAGGGAATTTAGACACTGATGGTAGGTTTCCCCAGCTGGAGGGCAGTTAGAGAGAGCCCCTGCCTGCCTGCTGTCTGTCTGCCTGCCTGCCTGCCTGCCTGCCTGCCTGCCTGCTGCCTGCCTGCCTGCCTGCCTGCCTGCCTGCCTGCCTGCCTGGTGCAGATGAGCAAGTGCCCATGCTAGTCACACAGCCCAGTGTGTTTCAGAGGTTGTCCTAAGCTCAAGGAGCAGGTAGGGCTGGTGGGGAACTGCGCAGGGGAAAGGGCAGCATATTCGAGCAATGAAGAAAGGCCCGGGATTGTCGGGTCGTGCATTATTTAGCTGGGTAAAGAGGCAGGGGAAGATGCAGTGCTTTAAGGCAAATGGTTGAAATCCTGCTTTGACAGCATTGAGAGGTTCACCGTTCTACTGGAAATGTGGCATGCATTAGTGACACAGACACTTAGGAAACTGAGTGGACAAAAAACAGCTCAAAGGAATACATACAGATGTATGATACAATGGGATGAACCTGGATCACTGTGTGGGCCACAGGTGTGTAACTCTGAGCAGCAACAATATCTTTCCCTCACCCAAGATAGAGCTGCGCCCTAGATGCCCTTTCTGGCCTCTGGATCTTCTCTCTACCTTCCTGTCAGGCTCTGTAGCCCAGAAGATGGAGGGATGGTGACGTGGCTCAGTAATAGTGTTTTCCTAGCATGTGTGAGGCCTTAGACTCAATTCCTATGCTGGATGAGGGAGCGAGCCCCTGGATGGGGGAGCTGGTTCCTGCAATGGTCCCACCTGTTCCTCCATGCTAGCCTCTGGTCTATGGGTCAGTGGGAGGTAAGGGGTCTGGACACATGCTCCCTGCTCCCTGTTGGGTTGGGAGTTGACAGTAGCTGTCTGGGTCTTGGCCCTGACACTCTCCTGTGCTGAGCGCTGCCCTTCCCTCTGGATCTGGAGCCCCAGTGACCAGACCCAGTGATTACTCATCATACCCAGGACTCTTCTCATGACCCTCCTCCGGCTTTCCTTGGGGTCTTCTCAGAGGATGCACTGCCTGCTTCCTGCTGAGATGTACCCAGCACACTATGATGAAGCCAGGCTAGGAGCAGCAAACACACGGCCCTTTGGGAGGGAAGCTTTGTGTGCAGGAGACAGAAGGCAGCACAGACTAAGGTGTAGAAGCAGCTAGAACATACTTGACAGTCTGGGATAAAGTCTAGGGCCACCAACTGGAGAAGTCACAGGTATTTGCCGCTAGGTGCCCGAACCAGAGTGTGAGGAGCACAGTTCTTTTCTTACAAGCTTTGTGGAGAAGCAAGGTTGCCTTCCTCCGCTGGGGACACTAGGACATCATCTCCAAGCAGGACAAAGGAAAGGGTGGATGGAGCAGGCTGGGTGCATTTTCCCAGCAGCCCGACGGTGGCTCCCTCACTTCCCCAGATAGACAGGCTGGGGCAGAGCCACATCATACTATGTGGGATCTCAGGCTACATCCTGGAGTCACTAAAGGCAATGACACCATATGGTTCTGGACAGATAGAGAGGGGTGGGGGTATTGGAGTAAAGAACATTCTGGAAAGGGGTGGGGCTTCCAGGTTAGGAATAGGGCAGTCACCCTGTGTTCATCATGGTAAAGTCATGCCCGAATTCTCCTTTCTGGCAATGTCCAGAAAGTGGCTGCCATCTCCTGAAATTCCATGAAGTGGTGTGGCCTGTAGCATGTCTCTGGATACCAGAAACCCAGGGAAGTGGGGGAAGGACGGCTCCCTGGGTACCCTAACTAGCAGGATGGCTACATCCTGCTGAGTGCCCCAAGGCGGAGGATACATGGACCCTTAGGGTGATTTGAATGAGATGTCCCTCACAAATCTCGGGCGTTTGAATGGTTTATCCCCAGTTGCTGGCCGTTTGGAAGGGTTAGGACTTGCTGGAGGAGGTGTGCCACTGGAGGCAGGCTTGCGATTTCAAAAGTCATCCACCGTCTCCCGTGCACTCTTTCTGTTCCCTGCTTGTGGCTTGAAATGTGAGCTCCCAGCTGCCTCTGCAACACCTGCCACCTGCACTCTGCCAGCACGGACTGTTACCCGCCTGGAACTGAAAGCTCAAATAAACCCTTTCTTTTATAAGTCCCTAGGCCAGGTGTCTTAGCACAGCGATGGAAAAGTACCCAGTACTGACCTGATGAAGTGTAAGATGAGGAAAAGGGCATGTACCTCTAAGGTAGAACTCCATTTCCCCCAAATTCCTGAGAAATAACTTTACAAGAGAGGAGTTACACCTGACCCATCCCACTACTCCTGAATGGTCTCTTCTGCTCTTCAGCACTGGGCCTGAGAACACTGGCTGGACCAGTCCTTGCCACAGGATGCCTGTGCTGTGGTCTTCCTAGGACACACAGAGCTTCCAGCCTTCAAGTACAACTGGCCATCTCATAGGGTGGGGCCTAGGAGAATGTCTTCCTAGAGGTACACAGGGCGCAGTAATCTCCAAGCTGCTCTTGGCACCTCACCAACATGGAGACCTCTTAGCCTCTCCTCTCTGATCTGGAATCCAACAACTCAGAATCCTCCTGGGACTCCTCCACAGACCCTTGGGGGAAGACAGGAATTATGACTTGAAAATTTGCTGCTCTAAGCGGGGATCAGGGAGCACTGCCACCCATGACAGAGGGGCAGATGGGGTCCTGCCTACCTGTGGGTACCCGTCTCTGCACTCCTGCACCTCTGGAGTCCTCAGAACTAGTGGGGGTGGGGGTGAGGAAAGTGAGTGGAGAGGGACCAGAGCTGTGCCCTGCTGCCCACCTCCCCACCTGCCCACCAGCCACGTACCAGCCTGCGGATCTCGCGCTCACACTCCTTCTTGATGCGGACAATTTCTTCTTGGTGCAGATGGTAGACACTCCTGATCTCGGCCGCCTTGATCTTATCGGCCTGGATGACCATCGTCAGTGCCTCCTCCACCTGCTTTTTGGCCCCCTTGAGCTCCGAGATCTCTTGCTGCATCTTGACCTTCTCCACCTCAAAGCCCTTCTTGGCCTCCTCCTTAGCCTCACACAGGAGCACCGTCTTCACCTTGTCTGGCGCGCCATCCCGTAGGGTGTTGAGCAGCGCCTGCAGCCTCTGGTTCTCATTGTCCTTGATCTTGATGACTCTCAGCAGCTCGGCCTCATGCTGCCGCAACAGCGCCTCCCGCACGGCCTGCAGCTCCTTCATCTTCTCCTCGTGCAGCTTGCTCTTGAGCTCGGTGACCAGGACGGCGTGCTTGCGCTGCTCGTGTTCACGGACCTGCTTCAGCTCCTGGCTCTTCTCCCGCTCCACTTTGCTGACCTGAAAGACAGGTGAGGCTAAGGTTCAGCAGTGGCTGAAACACGCCTGCACATTTAAAAAGGATTGCTGTCCTGCAAACTTAGGAGCTATCTGACTTCCTAATGTGTTTTTAACTGTCAATTAAAACCAAAGTCACCCTGCTTGGTGGAGGGCATGGAAGTGCATGGTGGTTCTGCAGCATGCATGGCCCACCACTGTAGCAGGAGAGTTGGCCATGGACACTCTCTGCCCATGGAAGTCTCTCCAGTGTCCAGGAGAACTTCTCGATGGACACTGCCCCCCAGGAGCATAGGAGGGGCACTGCAGGTCTGCGCCTGTGCAGAACCTTCAAGCCAGTTTCTGCTTCCTCCCTCCAGATCCTACTTCTTTACACAAACAATGAGCCTGCTGTTCTTACCTTCCATGGCAAAGGGCGAAGCCTGTTAGAAGCCAGGCTGTCTTTCTGGATGATGCCTCGAGTCTAGGTTTTGGAAACAATGTGACCACGTGCTTCATGTTCATCCAGATGTTTTTGGACCCTGGCTGAGTGGTCACTTCACTATAGGGAGTACTATATAATGGATCTATAATGGCTAAAATTCCCATGTGCCCTCTCTGTGCCATGGCTGGAGAACCCAAGAGCTCCCTTGTGGTTCATGGAGCTTACCTCCTGCCTCCACACGTGCAGGGCTTGGTTCTCCCTGATGAGAGAAAAGCTCCAGTGTGGAGTCCACAGTGATCTGCCCTCCAGGCAGCATCAACCTGTGCATCTCTCCTGAGACCCTCGGGGGCTCCCACATCAGGAACTGCCCCAGCTCTGTAGCCTACACCTCTCTGACCACAGCCCAACCAACCCCTTTCCTTTCCTGTTGGTTCCCAAGGCTCCAGGTACCCACAAACACTGGTCCCCAAACACTGTTTTCTCCCTGGTCCTAACTCTCAGGTCTCCAAGGGCCAGTTACTTGGTGACACTGAGAACTACACCCCATCACCTGCACCTGGAGGGACCTGCAGCCTGCTTTGTGCCTGAAAACTGTTCTGGCTTTCTAAGCCCCTCTAGGGGACCAGCCAACAGTGACCCAGCAGGATACGGGTATGGTTGCCACAGCCTCCTGCATCCCACTGCAGAGGAGGAGCAGCCTGCCTCTGTTGGAAAAACATCCCTCTCTTAGGCTGCTACTGTTCTGATCAACTTCCTGATCGCAATGGGTGTGCATAGTCCCCATACCCGCTTCTGGAAGGAAGTGCCTCTATGAATCTCAAAGATGCACTTGAGGAGCCACCTGCTTCCTGCTGGAACCCTGAAATAGTCACTCTATACTGAGTTTGTTCAAACAGGCCTCCCCAGGTCTTGACTGCCTTCCATTCTCTCAGTGCCATAGCAGGCACCATCAGTTCTGAAATGACTGGCATTTCCCACATACCACTTTTCCATAGCAGACAACCATGAGTCCATAGGGAGTGAGTTCTTCCTGTGCCGGGTGTCTATTTAATGTTTGCATGCTCTCTCATCTTCTATTTCTTCTCCTTATATTCTCTGGGGAGAATCTTGCTGGAGTCATCTTCTAGGCTCCCACTTTCCTTACCCACCACCACCAAACAGCAGCAAAACTGCCCACTCTACCTCCAAGTACACCTAAGGTCCATATGCTTGCACAGAGAGCATTTCCCTACTGAGCTGTGTCCCCAGCCCAAGCCTACTTAAAAGGCTCCTCTATGGGGAGGGAGAGGGAGCTGGCATTGATCTGAGAAACAAGATTGTTTCTAACCTAAATAAAAAATAATAAAATAATAATAAAAAAGGCTCCTCTAACTTATATCAGTGTCATGATCTCAGAACAAAACCTTTAACACAGGGGTCTTTGGGGACATTTAAGGTCCAAAGTGTTTCTGATTTATTTGCCTCTGTGGCTGGTCTTTCTCCCACCCCCCACCGGAAACAACTTTCAGGGCTCATTTGCTGCCATTTCCCCATAGGGCAGGCGTGTGACACTGACTCACACAGCTGGTCCCAGGGCTGGCAGCCCTATTGCTCTCTTAGAACCCAACAGGCCCCTGACCGCCCCTCCTGCACATCTAGCAGTATGGAATTCTGCTTTGCTGAACAGACCATTACTGGAAACTAGAGCAATGTGCATCTCCTCCTTTTCCAGTTTTAACTGGATCCCAGGTGAGAGAAAAGAAACAGCCAGAGTTTATTTGTTTTCAGTTTTTTGAGACAGGGTCTCACATTGTAGCTGAGATTGGCCCAGAGCTAACATTATGCCACCCAAGCTAGCCTTGAACTCACAGAAATCTTCCTGCTTCAGCCTCCCAAAAGTGGTGAGACTACAGGTGTGAGTCACCACACAGTGTTTCTGAATTATTTGAAGAAAGTCCTTCTCTTCCTCCATGGATCCTTTGGATGATTCCAGAACATTCTATGTGTTTAAAGGAAGGAAGGAAGAGTGGTCAGGTGGGGCAGGAATAGCTAGTTTCTCCTGAGGGTTAGGCCCTGAGGGTGCAAGAGTCCTGAATGGAACATGCCGTCAGAACCAACACCAGTGTCTATGGACCCGGAGCTCAACACAAAGGGTAGCAGACTCTCCTGGAATTCTGGGGAGCTAGCTAAAGACAGGCATGCTGGGGGAGAACAGATCACCCTGGCTCACAGTTTCGGGGGCTTCAGTCCATGGTCACTTGGTTCCACTGCTTCTAGGCCTGTGCGTGTGGAGGAAGAGCATCATAGTTGGGGAGAGATAGGTGAGGAAGCAGAGTGAACGACCTCATGGTGGGCAGAAGCAATGGTGGGCAGAAGACAATGCTGGCCTTCCTCTTTTGTTCCTCAGCCTGCCCCCAAGACTACTGGGAAATGTCATCCACATTTAGAGTGGTTCTTTTCTTCTTAGATGCTGTTGCTCATGCCACCTGGCTCTGGACATCCTCACAGACATGCCCAGAAGTGTGCCTTACTGATGCAGGTGTCTCTCCATCTAGGTTCATAATCAAGATTAATCCTCACAGGCACTTGACTCTCACAGAAGCCTGCAGCCAGCAGAGACTGGCATCAGGTGTGTTAGCCGCTGTGAAAAACACTACAGACTTCTCAGACGTAGGGCGGCCACTGATGCCTGCCAGGGCCTGCCTCGGATTCTCATAGCATGGCTTTACCTTTCCTGCTGGTTCTTCTGGTCTTTCAGCAAGATCTGAACCATGCAATGGGAGGGAGGTTGCTTTAATCAGGGTTGGAGGAGCAGGGAGTTCTTTCAGCTGCTGTTTGGTTGTGGTGGAAAAGCAAGGTAAATAATTGATTCTGTCCTCTAATTACTCTGTTGTGAGATAATAAACTGGCTCCCCGCCAACCATGGAGTACCAACTACCTGTTTCCTGAGGAGTACATGGATTCAAGCATATTGATGGTCCTCAGTTCTTTGCAAACCTCATCTTCAGCGAGCCTTGGAGTGTTGGTCCCATTTGTGGCCACGTGAGTGCCTCTTCAGAAGGCTCTTGAGTCCTCTTGTTGAGACCCTAGTAGTTTCCCAATCTGTGGGATATGGGATGTGGCACCATCCAGGGTTGTTTTGCTTATCTCTAATTGCTCTGACTGCTTTTCATTTTCATAGAAAGTGATATTTCAAGGTTGCAGTCATGGCCCTAGGATTGCTCATTCCTCTTGGAGAGAGAGAGTGTGTGTGTGTATGAGTGTGTGTGTGTGTGTGTGTGTTAATATCACATGCACAGACATCTTGTAAGTTTATGTCAACATTAAGTTCAAAGTCAGGACCACAGAGCTTCTGCCTAGTGCCCTGCCCACAGCTGAATCTGTTCTTTCACACTGGGCTCTTTTGTTCTTGAGGAATCAGGAGGTGATGTAATCCTCATTCCCCACACCCACATTATGTAGACAACCGTTTCAGGACTCGGTAGTTTTGATGCTGACCCCACTGGGTGTGATAACCATGGATGGCTGGCATTCTTGCACTTTCCATATGCCCCCACTGTGTGGTTGTACCGTCACCGCACAACCAGCTCCAAAGCCGTTCTAGCACTCTCCCATGATACCTTCATCCCCCACCCCGCCCCCGCCCCCGCCTGGAGGAATCTCAAAGCACTTCATAATCCCCAATGGATGCATACAGGCCATGCTTGGCAGGCTACCCTAAGCACAAGCCACAGGTGGCTTCTATGCCTTCACTGGGGTCTAACTCACAGAGGGGCTCTGAGTTCCACTCGCTTGGTGTCCCTGTCCACTCAGTGTCTGAAGAGCCCTTAGGAGCAGCCATAGAGTGATGCCATCTGAATTCTTGCATGATGCCCCCTCTGCGACTGGATGTAGGCTTTAGCAGACACAAGCCCTCAGTGTACGCTTGCTGCTCATTCTCCTCTCCATTCATAGTTGCCTTCTGCTGTCCCCAATCACCACGTAGTCTGCTTTGCTTCGTGTGCAGTGTGCACTGGCACCTGTGGTTTCTCTCATGCTACTAGAGTACTCTGGGGTTGCTGGTCTGGGTTTTGGTTTCAGCATGCTCTTTCAATAAGCAGTTTCCTTTGAAAAAATCTTTTTGTGTCTCAAAAGTTAAGAAAGCTCCCTGCCCTTTTAGACCCAGGCTGGAGTCTTAGCACCCACATTGAGGCTTACACCTGCCTGTAACTCCAGTTCCAGGAGAACCCAATAGCCTCTTGTGGTCTCCACTGGCTCTTGCACATATGTGGTGCATATAAACTCATACAAATTCATGCACATACAATAGTTAAATAAATAAAATTTAAAATTACATTTACTTACTTTTTTTTTTTTTGGTTTTACGAGACAGGGTCTCTCTGTATTGTTTTGGAGGCTGTCGGTCCAGCCTGGCCTCGAACTCACAGAGATCCACCTGCCTCTGCCTCCCGAGTGCTGGGATTAAAGGCGTGCACCACCACCGCCCGGCTGCTTACTTTTTTATTTGGGCAGGAAGCACACACTATGCTGTAAGTGTGAAATCAAATGACAATGTGTAGGAATTGGTTCTGTCTTTCCATTATGTGGGTTCTGGGTTCCA